TTTCTCTCTCCACCTGGAGCCACAGCCTTATTTCCAACCTTAGATAAGTCTTCTGTTCCTCTAACAATAAACAACTATACTGCAAACCATAATGGTTAATTGGAATTTCCTACTTGATTGGATTAAGGGATGCCAAAGATTAAGAAGCTTCAGGTGTGTCAATGAGGGCGTGTCTAGGAATGACTGACATGAGGGATAACAAACTGGAGTGGAGATCCTCCCTAAGTGTGGACAGCACCGTCCAATAGGTTGGAGGCTTGGATGGAATAAAAATTGGAAGATCAAGGAAGCAGCAATAGATGCAAGCTTGCTACTTCTTCAGTGGGTTCTTGATGGCTGCTGTGATTGCCTGAAGATATCAGACTGGCTTCTTCACTCTTCAAAAGTGGACTYTAYCAGTGATTGTCCAGGGAATTTCCAGAAAGTCTCAGACTGGGGTARCCCTGCTGATCCCTCTTGTTCTGAGACTTCAGCATCTTGGACTGCACAGCTACTGGTACCTCCAGCTCCCCAGCCTGCAGATGATCACTGTGCACTATGCAGCTTCTGGTTGTGTAAGCCAATCTAATGAATCCCCTTTTTATAATCATACCTCCTGTTGGTGCTTTTCCTTTAGAGAACACTAATACACAACCATAACACATAGCCTACAAAAAGTGAAATGTCCATAATCCCTCAAGGACAATTTCTCCATTCTCATCCTTGTGGGGCCTGGCAAAAGTCCACACCCACCCACATAGAAGGATGTCATTAAAGCTAAGTGTCACCACAGAGACAGGCATGAATCAAAAGATTTTATGTAACATTTATTTTTTGATCCCATCCTAACTTTGGCTTCCATCCTCAGCTCCTATCTCCATTCTTTTCATAGGAATCCAAAYGTTTTTTAAAACAACATGGTTAAAATCATGATTATCTGGAGTCACAATAAATCTTCTTTCCAAAGGGGGAGGAGGTCACACAACTTTAATCCTTATGCAGCATTTTCAAATATGCATGTCAATATATATTTTTATAAACTATTTAAAATAAAAACCCTTCATCCTTTGAGGTTGGCATTTGCTAGTTCACTGACACACACCCCCATAATACAATAATTCTATTCATTTTCATGAATGAGGTGGGAACTATACTAAAAAAATAGGATTTTAATCCCTGAGGTGTCAGTTAAAATGGAYAGAGGTTGCCATTGCAACTCAAGATTTTAAAAATTTAGCCTTAAATAATAAGCATGGATCATGCTCTCTGAATCAAAATCACCTCCACAGCATGGAGTCACTTAGAAAACTGCATTTTGGGGGGTTATATGCACCCTGATATCTCCAGCTCTCTTGCTATGAGAATCTTTCCTTTTGTAAAGGAATAACATAGCAATCAAGTCKGTAGAAACTTCTGAGATCCTCAGAAATCAAGAGAAACCATAGTCCTGTTTCTCAAATCTCCATCCACATTGTTGGAGAGGGTGTTTCAGCACCATTCCAAGACCTGGAAATGGATGAGCCAACTTGATTCTTCTGGTTCTCCATAGATAAAGAGTCAAACGGAGAAACCAGTCCTCCTGGCTAGAAAAATGGGCACATCTGGGCTTTTCTCTGCTGCCCATGGTTAGCAGAGCTGGGTTCAGTTCCCTGTGCCCACCACCATTCCTGTAGACCCCCTTCCTTCCAGGTGGCTTCAAGAGGTTTTGGGGGTCCCGGCTGCTCCCCCTAGTAGTAGCGGTTCAGGCTTCGGGTGCCGGGCACCTCGGGCTGGCCGTTCATCCAAATCTCCCTGATGATGCGCTCGCGCTCCTCCAGCCTCTGSGCGCGCTCCAGCTCCTCCGCAGAGGTGAACACGTTCTTGTTCAAAGTCCTCTCAAAGCGGCGGTGTCTCCGCACCGAGAGGTCAGAGGCRGTGTCCGAGCTGCCATCCTCGCTGTCGCTGCTGTCACTGCTGCTCTCTCGGTCTTGCAGGAACTTCCTCTTGGGGCGCCGCTGGCAGTCTGTATGACAAGAGATCCTCATCACCAAGGCAGCCAGGGTCAGGACCAGCCCGATGCACACGCCAGAGACAAAGTACAGAGCTGCTCGCTCAGGGTTTTCTGGAGGAAGAAGAAGAAAACATTTGAGAAACCACAGCTTCACGTGCAGAGAATAGATGGGACTCCTGCCCCCAAACCTCTCACCTAGCCCCAAGCCTTGCTGGTTACCAATATTGCCTTCAAATGTGACAAATCTATTAGTGTAGTCAAATGGTGAATCTAGAAAGGTTAAAGGATATATGGGATTATTTTATTCTACTTTCAACTCTGATTTTGAAATTATTTCAGAATAAAAAGTTAAAAGAAGCCTGGTGCAATGGTGCAAGCCTATAATCCCAGGGGCTGGGGAGGCTGAACAGGGGGATCCTGGGCCCAAAGCCAGCCTCAGCAAAATGGAGGTGCTAAGCAACTCAGTGAGACCCTGTCTCTAAATAAAATACAAAATAGGACTGGGGATGTGGCTCAGTGGTCGAGTGTCCCTGAGTTCAATCCCTGGTACAAAAAAAAAGTTAAAAGAAACAAAAACTATTTTAATACCTACTATATAYAACAACTGTGCCTAGGTGCCATGTGTTTTAAGAGGTGTCTCTTTCTAAAAGCTCTTTTTAACTGTACACAAGTAAATTTGGCTCATGAATTTACTCSTGCAACCTTCTAAATTACCTTTTCATCACTGTGATGGGCAACTTCTGAGATGCCCCACTTCCTGGTACTCATGCCATCCCTTAAGGGCTGGACTCAGTGACTGACTTATAAGAAACAGAATATGGTAAAAGCTGGTTCTAAGACTAGATTATATAASGCTGTGAGCTCATCTTGCTCATTTATATTCCCTCTTTCTGCTAAACTGCTTACTTTGATGAAGCCAGATACCATGTATGCACTGTCCTACAGAGAAGCCCAAGTGTCAAGGAACTAAGGGTGGCCTTCACCCAATATTCTTCAAGGTACTGAATGGTGCCAACAGCTAGGTGGGTGAGCTTGGCAGGGAACCATCCCTAGGTCAAGCCTTACAGTGACCACCAGCCTCATCGCCTTGCAGGAACCTTGTGGGAGACCTTGAACCAAAGAATGCAGCTAAGCCACACTCAGGTTCCTGAACCACAGAAACTGAGAGATAAAGTATGTATTCTTGTAAGTCACTAAGTTTTAGGTAAGTTAAGTTTTTACACAGCGGTAGATAACATATACAGTCAATCACACGTTTGCAATCAGCTTAAGCTTTTAAGAATGATCTCATCAAGTAAATTGAAAAAGAAAATAAGAATCTGAGGGCTTCCTTGGTGAGAGAAGAAYGTAATTATTCTGTTGTTGAGCAATACGCTAAGCAGGCCCAGTGGTGACCCCAGTAAGATGTACTCAATAGGAAGACAGCCTTTGAGTAAGCAACTGTCCCTCGGTAGGCACAAGGGAGAACATGGGAACATGCCTGGCCTGTATCATGGGACAGGCCATGGTCAAGCTGGTAGGCTCACGCTGGACATCAGCAAGTTAAATTTCCATATTCCACATTCACTTGTAAGTGTGAATCAAAATAGGTTTCCTTTTGTGGTTCTAAATAATACAAATGGGATCACAGAAGATGGATTTTTGCTTTTAAATATAAGAATATTTCTTAGAAAGATTTCCAGATCTGTGTATTTAGGTAAACAAAAGTTTTTAAATTAGAGCTTCATGGTTATTATATATAGCAGTGGGTTCATCCCGACAAACCCATTTATGCATGGAAATCGATTTGGTTCATGATACCCTCCCTTTTTTCTCCCCTTTTCCCCTCCTGTCTTCCTTTTCCTCTCTCCTTCTCCTCTACTCGACTCAACTTCCTTTCATTCATCTATTAATTGGAATTTGGTTGTTCTTTTATGTAATTTATCTATTCTATTCTATTCTATTCTATTCTATTCTATTCTATTCTATTCTATTCTACTCTACCCCTCCACTCTATTTTCCCTCCTCCTTTCCTTTATTTTACTATAGCTTCTGCATATGAGAGAAAATATTTGACCTTTGAGCTTCTGAGTTTGGCTATTTTCACTTAAAATTATATTCTCCATTTCCATCCACTTACTGACAAATGCCATATTTTCATTCTTTTTAATGGCTGAGTAGAACTACATTTTGTGTGTGTGTATATATGTCTCTCTCTGTCTCTCTCTCCATGTATGTGTGTGTGTGTGTGTGTGTGTGTGTGTGTGAGAGAGACAGTTTTTAATCCATTCATCTATTGGTGGCACCTGGGTTAATTCCATAATTTAGCTATTATGAATTGTGCTGCTATAAACATTGATGGGGCTGTCATTGTAGTATGTTGATTTTAGATCTGGGAAAATACTCAGGAATGGGACAGCTGAGTCATATGGTAGTCCATCCTTAATTTTTTAAATATTTTTTTTAGGTGTAGATGGACACAACACAATGCCTTTATTTTTAGGTGGTGCTGAGGATCGAATCTGGGTCCCAATCCTAGCCCAGCATCCTTAATTTTTTGAGGAATCTCCATACTGCTTTCCAGAGTAATTGTACTAGTCTGCAGTGCCACCAACAATCTAAGTGTTCCTTTCTTCCTACAACCTCACCTGCATTTACTGCTGTTTGTATTTTTTGTAATTACCATTCTGATTGGAGATGAAATCCTAGTGTAGTTTTGATTTTCATTTCCCTGATTACTAGAGATGTTCAGCATTTTTTCATGTATTTGTTGGCCTGTTGTATTTCTTTCATTGAGAAGTTTCTATTTAGTTCTTTCGCTTATTTATTGATTGGGTTATTTGGTTTTTGATGTTAATTTTTTTGAGTCCTTTGTATATTCTGGATATTAATCCCCTATCAGAGGAGTAGCTGGCCAAGATTTTCTCTCATTCTGTAGCCTCTCTCTTCATTCTCTTAATCATTCCCTTTGCTGTACAGAGCTTTTTATTTCTGGCATCCCACTTATTAATTCCTGGTTTACTTCTTGTGCTTTGGGTGTCATGTTAAGGAAGTCTGTGCAAGTACCTATATGATGGAGTGTTGACCCTATGTTTTCTTTTAGTAATTGTAAGTTTTCTGGTCCAATTTCTAGGTCTTTGATCCATTTTGATTTGAGTTTTGTGCAGGCTGAAAAATTTAATTTTTCTGTATATCTAGTGTTCCCAGGACCATTTGTTTTTTTAAGGGCTGTTTTTTTCTTCTCCCAGATATATTTTTGGCACCTTTGTTAAATATCAGACAGTTATAATTTTGTGAATTTATCTCTTTTATTCTATTCCACTGGACTTCATGTCCATCAATAGCTTTTTATTATTATTATTATTACTACATACTGTTCTGTAGTATATGAATTGTAGCATATGAATTGTTTCTAATTTTTCACAATTAGGATCAACGCAACAGTCAATGTCTTTACATCCTTATACATATCTCTTTATTGCCAAKGCAGAATTATTTCTATAGATTAGTTATCTAGAAATGGAACAGCTACATCAAAGAGCTTAGGCATTTTGAAGTTTTATGTATTCTAAACTGTATCCAATAAAAGTCCAAATACAGCATGTTGAACCCATGTGTTAATAATTCCTCACTTCCTCTGAAATCCCCATTGAAATGATGGCAGTGTGTATAGATAGAAATAATAAGAAAAAAGAGTAGAGTGCAGAAGAAAACAAAAAAAAAAACAAGACTAGTGGATAAAATAATCAACAAATAGGAGAAAAGCATAGTGAAGTAACCTGAAACTGAATTCTACCAGCTAATATAATATCCATAAATACAGAGAACCTAGTGAGCACCAGCCTTAGGATGCAAAAAGTTCAKCAGGGATCCAAATCCACCCTGTTCCATTATAAAAATGAAGAACTATAATATAAATGGGAGGTGGGAGCTCTGGAAACACAGAGGCAGTGGAGAAGCCAAGATGAGATATGGGGGTCCAAGAAAGAAAGGTAGTTACTGAACTGAGAGTTGAAGGCTGAGGTGGGCTAGCTATATGAAGATGGGGAAAAGTGTCCCAGGCAGAGAGAAAAGCATGAACAAAGGCACAGAGATATGAAAAACCACATATGTGTGGGAACAAATTATAGAATCTTAAATTCCACTTTTCTATGGCAACAACTAGCATATTGCTAGGTCTCAAATACCATTGGTTGATATCACTGTCACTCTCTAAACATCATAATATTCCAACATAGAAAATAAAGAGAACCATAACTCCTCCCACTATAGATACTGTATTTCCAATTATATAGCCCTAAACTGTAACTTTACTACCAATTGAAATACTCTCACGTACTGCACTTACTGTTGAGTAAACCATGTAAGTCTTGAAAAAAGGTGATGGCATTAAATCTTATTTCTCCATTTAAAAAAAAAATACCTTGCCCATTAGGATTCTTTTTATTCAAATACAAAAACTCCACTTTGTTTCTCTCTGGTTCCAGAGTGTTGAGAGATTTTTTAAAAMCAATTTTGATAWTGTCACMTAAAATGATCTCTCAAAGCCAACCATTGGCCTCTGAAATGAATTTGCCTAACTCCCCACCCAAGATAATGCAAAAATACTGAATAAGACTAGGACTTGGAAAAAGACACTAACTAGCCTGGTGAATGGTGAATGTGAACCTGAAATACATAGGGGGCCTGGTGGTCTTCAGTAGATGTGACTTAACCTACTTACCCTGTGTTTAGCCCCAAGGTCTCCACCTCATCCACAAGCTCACAAAACATCTCACAGACTCCTTCACTTCCTGGGACGAGTCACTCCAACACTGTCTGCCACCATCACAAATAGCCAACTGCCTAATTTTCCACCAGTTGTTTACATCTGTGTCCCCATCAGAAATGGATGCTTGGCAAAGGCAGGAAATGATATTTAAGTCTCTGATTTTCTAGAACCTACATAAATTATCCAAATATGTTCCTATAATTTCATGCAACCCATGACATAATCCCCCCCCGCCATTTTAAAATAGTCTCTTTTTATTATTTCATCTCCTTCTTCCTGCCTTTCCCCACCTCCTTTCTTCCTTTTTGGTTGTCTTTGATGAAATAAAAGAAGCAAGAAGAGGTGGTGTGACTTCTAGATG